TATTATTATTATTATTATTATTATTATTATTATTATTATTATTATTATTTCTCAAAATTAACTATACCCAGACAACACACACTTCAAGTAGACGGTGATGTTTTATAAAAAAAATGAAAAATAAACTTTAAAAAAGAAAAGAAAACGGAAGAACATTTTTAAAAACAAAGTGAATTAAAATGGACCAAATACAAAAACATGTATTTAGCCCAATCTCTCTGACAAAGCTATCGCAACGATAACATTCATGAATTTTGACCTCAACGGATCATCCTCAGCTTACGACCATGAGGGAGGCCCACATTTTTGTCGCTAAGCGGAGACATTTGCTAAGGGAACTTTGTCCCTTTTTAATCACTTTCAGTTGATGCGATGGTGAGGCGAATCACCGCCGTTCTTAAAATGAGTCACCCGGCCGTTAGGTGAATCGGGCTCCCCTGTTGACGTTGCTTGTCGGAAGGTCGCAAAAGGGGACCTTGGGATACCCAGACCGTCATAAATGTGAATCAGTTGCCAAGCGTCCGAATATAAATCAGGTGACTGCGGTGGTTGCTGTGCTGGTCGTAAGTGTGAAAAGCGACAGCAACGATTGAAATAATAATATAACAGCAGCCGTGATTCACTTAATGACTGTGGTGAGAACAGTTGTAAAACGGGGCAAAATTCACTTAGCAAGTGTCTTCGTTAAGAACAGAAATGTTGCGGGTCGTAAGTCGAGGACTGCCCTGTGTTCTCTGTTGGGCCCAGGGTCAAATATCCTCTCCTTCCTGTCTTGCTTTAGGACTTGCCTACTGCAAGCCGATTCGGAGCGCCACCTACAGGCTTGGATGTGCTCCGTCCAGAACAGCATCGCCTCGGCGTATAACGAGGATCGGCCAGAACCCGCTGGGCAGGTAACACCTGGTGGCCTCCAGCCCAAGTGGCGACCAAGTCGTCGTGAGAGGTGTGGGGTCCCGAGGTCCTCGTTTCACGACTGTTCGTTTAACGATGATTTGAAGTTGCGAAGGCCATTTTAAAAAAACTGACATGGCTGGTCCTCACTTTATGACCGTCACACCCCCACTGGGTACAGAGGAGAAGAGGGAAGGAAGGAAGGAGAGGGAGGGGATGACAAGAAGGAACGAAAATTGAGCCGAATGAAAGAGAATGAAAGGGAATGAAAAAGAAGGGGAGGATAAAGAAAGGAAAGGAGGAGGAGACGAGGAAGAGGGAGGGAGGGAGGGAGAGAGAGAAAGAGGAAAAGAAGGCAGAAAGAATGAAAAAAGGAAGGGGGAAGGAAAGAAAGGAGAGGGAGGAAAAGGAAGGAGAAGAAGGAAAAGAGGGAGGGATAAAGATGAGAAGAGGGAAGGAAGGAAGAAAGGAAGGAAGGAAGGAGGGAGAGATGACAAGAAGGGAAGAAATGAACGAAAAAGAAAGGGAGGGAAGGATAAGGAAAGGAAAGGAGGAGGAGACGAGGAAGAGGGAAGGAGGAAGGGAGAGAGAGAAAGAGGAAAAGAAGGCAGAAAGAAAGAAAAAAGGATGGGGGGAAGGAAAGAAAGGAGAGGGAGGACAAGGAAGGAGAAGAAGGAAAAGAGGGAGGGATAAAGATGAGAAGAGGGAAGGAAGGGAGGAGAGGGAAGGGAAGGGATAACAAGAAGGGAAGAAACGAACGAAAAAGAAAGGTAGGGAAGGATAAAGGAAAGGAGGAGATGAAGAAGAGGGAGGAAGTGAGGGAGAGAAAGGAAAAGAAGGCAAAAAGAAAGAAAAAAAGGCAGCGGGGGAAGGAATGAAAGGAGAGGGAGGACAAGGGAGAAGAAGGAAAAGAGGGAGGGATAAAAAGGAGAAGAGGAAAGGAAGGAAGGAGAGGAAGGGATGACAAGAAGGAAGGAGAAGAACGTAAAAGAAGGGGAGGGAGGGATAAAGATAACTTGTCCTCACATTATGACCATCATACCCCTACTGGGGTCCCGGGATGGCTATTGGGGCACCAGGCAAGGGTCTCTCATTTTGACAGTGGAGGAATTATCGGCTCAATTGCGGTTGTAAATCAAGGACTTAGAAATTCTTAACAGTGAAGACGATTAACCAGTGGAACAGCTTGCCACCAGAAATTGTGGGCACTCCCATCACTGGATATTTTTAGGAAGAAGTCTGAAATGGGATAGGATCTCCTGCTGGATCAGTGGGTTGGACTAGATGACCTCCAAGGTCCCTTCCAACTCTGTTACTGTTAAAAGGTCTCCCACTTGAGCAGTGGGTGGGACTAGATGACCTCCAAGGTCCCTTCCAACTCTGTTACTGTTAAAAGGTCTCCCACTTGAGCAGTGGGCTGGGCTAGATGACCTCCAAGGTCCCTTCCAGCTCTATCCTGATTACATTACATACATATTTTTAAATGTATTACATAGACACGGTACATTGCATGCATGTTTGTCTGGA